TCCTTCCTGTTGGAGCAGTAGCTTGAGATTGGCAGGCAAGCGATCTTAGCATTCAGATCACCCAGCCCACAGCAGGCGGCCTTCACTTCGACAAATCCTTCAACACAAGCAGCACAAAGGGTCAGTCCTACTTCGAAGTCGCATCCATGCAACACGAACAGATCGGTTTATGCGAGTTCATACCGTAAGCATCTGGATTGTTGATGTACTCGAGCAGTGCGGTGTAGGTGTCGAAGTAGGAGTAGCTCATATCGCTGAGTTCTTCTGACATTTCCTGCAGCAGGGAAGAAGCACCCTTGTTGTACTGAACCGAGAGGTAATTGGCTTCGACACTGCACTCCCTGGTCTTGTTCTGATGCCTTTGCGCTGGGCAGCAACCGATCGGTCCCGTTCCGATGAACACAAACTTGCGTGCACCGAGATTGTATATCCTCTGATGTGAAGAAAGGAGGAACATGAGTGACTCGTAATAGGAAAAATCATATGCAAGAAGCTTTGTGAACGCTGCTTACCTTTAATTGTCCTCGCAGCGATGAGATTAGCGAGTCAACGAACTGCTGTGGAGGGTTCTTGAGCTTGTTGGCGGAGCTGGACTTGACGTAGTTGAGTATGTCGTTGCTTCCGATGACCAAGGCAAAGACGGAGTTGGACAGATGAGCTTGTGTTTGAGCACTGCCTAGCTGCTGAACTAAGGCTGCGTATACTGAAGAATAGTAGTCTATTTGCTTGTTGAATGAGATGCATTGGTCCTGTCACACACACACAGTTCATGTTGGCCATTGGAAGCAAACCATTTCATGTTCATGGATTCATCTCTTACTTTGTTGGTAGAATCCAGGACTCCACCACCACCCGAGGCGAAGTTGACACCGCCGAGGAACTCATCGGTGTTGTTAGAGCTCGAGGGTATAGAAAGGTAAGCAGGAGAGGTCGGTCGTCCCAGTTTCTCAGCTGCCGCATTAGAAGTACAGATTAGAATCGTAGCATTGCTATGCACTAAGATAAGCTTCAAACTTGGAAGCTAAATCGAAACTTAATTCCTACGGTGAACAGGAAAGCCTCCCTAATTAGCGTAAGTGCAATCAAAGTCCATATCATTCCTTGTCTATAGGACAGATGGAGAACACCTGGACGCATTATTTCCTCTTCTTTGGTATACTATCAATCATAACACATTCCTCATTTACTTGACGTTGACCTTTCAAACATCAACTTGACTCACTAAGTTGCAATATTCATCTTATTATCGTCTTCAAGGAATTCAATTCGGTTTAGAGTGTCAGCATGGATAAGTTTCCCATCCCTTCTGTATGCAGCTTGGATTTCCAGTGTAGGATGGAACTCAAAACTCATGCCTTGGTCACCTTACACACGATCCTAATTCGAGAGTAAATACGTCGAACAGCTGAAGAAGCAACATAAACCACCGAAACAGTGGAGTGGAAGTGGGGTGTGGTACCGAGGAAGTCGGCGGAGTTCTTGCCGTTGCTGAACCGCCCGGTGGCCTTGTGGCCGGGGAAGTCGACGCCGTTGTGCGGGAAGTCGGCCTTCAGAAGGGACAGCCCCAAGTGGTTGTTGTTGCCGACGTCGGCGAGGGAGTCGCCGAAGACATACACCGCCGAGACCTCGGTCTGCGCTTGACAGCCACCGTACCAGCAGCACAGAATCACAACGAGGGTCACCAGCGTAGAGGAAGACGAAGAAGCCATGGTATGTGGGAGGATCCTGATCAATTGAATGATCCCTGCAGGAGGTGGCTGTGGCGTGGCTTTAAAGACCTGGCAGAGCAGAGGGTGCGTACGTACATCCCTTTGGAGCGGGGAGGAAGTGGTATTGAACGCGGAAAGGACCGGTCCCTTCCATGTTCTTGCCCAGCCATCATGGTGTCACTTCCTTTCACACTGAAACGGTGGAAGGATGACGAAGGTGATAGGAGAACCAAGTCGCTTTCTGCACGGAATGAGAGACAGCAAGATTAGTCTACGGTGATGAGACTTTTTGGCATGTGGAAAAGATACCACTGGACTCAGTTTCACTGTATACAACCTGTTGGACAAAGTAATATAATTGTCTTCGGTACTGTGATGATCTATTGGAAATCGTGTCAGATATCCGGAAATAAATGATTGCACTTCACGTCATACATAGTAAATTAAACCTGTGGGGACTGATTTGCCTGAGAGGAGCTCCACGAAGAGAGCAGAGCGAGAAATGTGAAAGGGAAGAGGGATTTGATGGTTGGGAAGATTAGAGGGAGACTCATGAGAGGGAAAGGAAAGGGATGCCATTAATTAATACATCCCTTTCATGGCAGCTCACCGGAATGAGAGGTTTGGAAATGGCTTCCACACCTGACCAAGAATAGATTCTGAATGGGTATCACTTTCACAGTTGTGCTCTGCACAACTGTTAAGGAGATGTTCTTCTACGAGCATTGATTGCATATACACACATGGTGGGCTATCATCACACATTTCTATACGATTGGTATGTGTTAGCACAATCTGTACAAAATCTCACCACTCTGCATCATTCTCTTTCTCTCTCTTTGGTTGTCCGTCACCTTCTTCCCTCTCCCATTTCTCATTCAAAGTATGAAAGGAAGTGAAGTCATGGCAGCCGGAGAGCAAGACTTGGAAGAGTGACACCCCTTGTCGCGTTTAATGCCACTTTCCCCACTGCAAAGACGTACGTACACCTCTCCCGAGTCCTTAAAGCCACACCACCGCCCCCTCCACGACTCATTCAATCCCCTCAACAGAGTATGGCTCCCACTTGTTCCTCTGCACTGGCGTCCATCGCCGTGCTTCTTTGCTACTGGTACGGCCGCTGCTGTCAAGGAGAGGCCGCGGTCTCGGCGGTGTATGTCTTCGGCGACTCCCTCGCCGACGTCGGCAACAACAACCACTTGGAGCTGTCCCTTCTGAAGGCCGACTTCCCGCACAACGGCGTCGACTTCCCCGGCCACAAGGCCACCGGGCGGTTCAGCAACGGCAAGAACTCCGCCGATTTCCTCGGTACTACACCTCACTTCCTCTCCACTGTTTGAGCTGTTTGTGCTGTTTCTTCAGGTGTTCGACAAATTCCCTCTTAAATCAGGATCAGTTGTATCAGGTGAAAAAGCTGTATATTTATGCATCTACTTGATTGGGGTGGGGTAGAGGGAACCTACTAATGTCTAGTTTTGCCGGCCTGCAAAGAACATGCCTCCTTCGACCAAAGCATGAGCTTGAGTTCTTTCCTGCAATGGAGGTCGAAGCTGCATGCAGGCCATGCAGAAAGCAGAAAGGATGGGAAGTTGATCCATTCAAGACACTCCAAATAGAAGAAGAGCTTCTCAGAATGGCTTAACATAAAACCTGGAAGGCAACAATATGCTAAGACGAATAGTGCAATCTGGTGAAACAAGTTTTAAGTTTCAAAGGTCAACATCAAGTAGGATGAAATGAGCTGTAAATGATTGATAGTATGTTCGATACATGTCGGTCGAAGAATAGAAAATAATGCATCAAAAGTCAAAGTCTAGAGAGGCAGGTTTTCTCTGTGGAGGTTCCGATGACAAGGGTTGATGTGGCCATAGATTCAGGTCATTTATGGATTGTTGTGATCGAGTTCAGAGTATCAACAGAGAGGATTTGGTGCTCTGTTTTTACGAGAGTTAGCTGTCGTTATAATCGAAAGTAATAGCATGAATCTGATTTGTGTTCCAATGTGGCAGCTGAGAGTCTGGGATTGCCGACCTCTCCTCCGTACCTTGATATCACTTCAAGCTCTAACAACACCGATGTGTTCCTCGGCGGTGTCAACTTCGCCTCGGGTGGTGGTGGAGTCCTGGATTCTACCAACAAAGTAAGAGATGAATCGACTCCGGGAAGGTTGAATCCATGAACATGAAATGGTTTGCTTCTAATGGCCAACATGAACTCTGTGTGTGACAGGACCAATGCATCTCATTCAACAAGCAAATCGACTACTATTCCTCAGTATACACGGCCTTAGTTCAGCAGCTAGGCAGTGCCCAAGCACAAGCTCATCTCTCCACCTCCATCTTTGCCTTCGTCATCGGAAGCAACGACATACTCAACTACGTCAAGTCCGGCTCCGCCAACAAGCTCAAGAACCCTCCACAGCAGTTCGTTGATTCGCTGATCTCATCGCTGCGAGGACAACTAAAGGTAAGAAGCGTCCACAAAGCATCCAGTTAGCTTCTTGCATATTATTTTTCCTATTACGATTCACTCGTGTTTCTCCTTTCTTCACATCAGAGGATGTACAATCTCGGTGCACGCAAGTTTGTGTTCATCGGCACGGGACCGATCGGTTGCTGCCCAGCACAAAGGCATCAGAACAAGACCAAGGAGTGCAATGTGGAAGCCAATTACCTCTCGGTTCAGTACAACAAGGGTGCTTCTTCCCTGCTGCAGGAAATGTCAGCAGAACTCGGCGATATGAGCTACTCCTTTTTCGACACCAACACCGCACTGCTCGAGTCCATCAACAATCCAGATGCTCATGGTATGAACTCGCACAAACCGATCTATTCGTGTTGCACGGATGCGACTTCGAAGTAGGACTGACCCTTTCTGCTACCTGTGTTGAAGGATTTGTCGAAGTGAAGGCTGCCTGCTGTGGGCTGGGTGATCTGAATGCTAAGATCGCTTGCCTTCCAATCTCAAGCTACTGCTCCAACAGGAACGACCATATCTTCTGGGATTTTTACCACCCAACAGAGGCCACTGCTGAGATGCTAACAAGCACAGCTTTTGATGGATCGGTGCCCTATGTGTATCCTATGAACATAAGACAGCTTGTCGCCATCTGAGCTAAGGGTTTCCTAGTGTTTAGACTGTGGAGACTCAAGTACATGGAGGCAATGTACGAAGAGCAAACTTACAGTATACTTCCTTCTTTGAATACCTCCTCCTATATGTATCGTTGAAATATATTTATATACATGATCTGTTTATGTCACAATCATCAATAACTAATGATAGCACTGATGCTAGTATGAAGTATATATTATTTCGAACAAGGATGACATGACCACTATTTGACTTCACCAACAATGGCTAAAGATTATTAATTGAGCAACGAGCTCAGTGCCAAGCAAGTGATGTTGTTGAACTCCACACAGACCAAATCATTAGGACAGAATGCTACAGAATCAAATGATGTGTTTTTAGTTTGCCGTGAGAATAACACTGCGCACGAGAAGAAGCGATGCAGATTGCCGGGGGGAGGTGGTTCCGATTTCAACCGAAGAATCCGGTCCGACTCCAGACCGCGTCCCGAACCCTGCTCATGTCCCGGCCCTTGAGCGTCCGGCCCACACCTTCGAGCACCGACGTCGCCACGCTCCTCCCCTTCTCCCTCGCCAAGTACTCGTGCGGCGGCACCCACCCACCCTCTTCCTCCTCCTCCTCCCGGCCGAGCCACCCCACGGGTCCCTCCGGCTCGACCCGGAGGAAGCTGGGCCAGACCGGCACCTCCATCGGCGCCGAGGCCGCCACGGTCCGCCGGGGAGCGCACCCGTCCTCGAGGGCGAGAGAGAGCCCACCCCCGGGCCGATCGACCCAGGGGCGAGCCGCCCGCGGGGCCATCTCGGTTCGTCGCCAGCCGGTGTCGTCATGGCCGCCGCCGTCGGTCGAGGACCAGAAGACATCATACTCGGCGAGGTCCGGAAGGTCCGTGCCGGCCCCGTGGACCGGCGGCGCCTCCACGCTGCCGAGGAGGCGTTCCGCCCTCTCCATCGCGTGTGATTCCTCCCGCACCGCTGGCCGGAAGAGCCAGCCTCTCTTTATACTGCGAGTGGGGCGTCCACGTAGGACCCGGCTCCCCGGGGCTTGTGGGGCCCCGACCCACGTGGGTACGCACTGGACCTCATACGGCAGGCGGTGTCGGATCGACAACTGGACGTTGGTACGGGTCCCACATGGAAGATCTCAATCATGCAAGGCATCCTTAATTATCATCGCCATCATTATTATCATGTGGTCGGCTTAATTACAAGCTGGATTCAGATTAAACGCCATGCAGAGGGCGACTGTGGTGTCGATCGATGAGAGACCACATCGCTTGGGTAGGGCGGCAGAGTAGGCGCTGTCCTCTTTGAACTCAACAAAAGAAGCTTTGCCACCATCCAAATCTCCGACGCTGCGTCCTTCAATAATGGACCACCATCGGCAGGGCTGGACGCTGCTTTCACTGCGTTACTTACCACCGAGACGAGGGACCCACGACGGCCGACCGACCCGTGACGAGGGAGATGCGAGGGGGGTTAGGTTGGTTCTGGAATCGGAATCTTAGCTGCCGCCGGACAGGGAGTGTGGATAGTTTAAGGGGATGGTAGCAAAGAGGGGCTTTAGTTAAATGGGTTAAGTGCAGGAGAGTATGGGTACGATGGAATCATGGTGATATGGGTGTCAGTATTATATGTAGAAGCTGCATGTGTATGTGTGCTGGTGTGCTCCATTTGGTGTCCACATTTTATTTTATGAGTGTTGCACACCTCATGCGCATGAGAGACGGCAGCCGATTACGGTGCAGTTTGTGATGATGTTTCTGAACTCCGCAAGTGGTTCTGTTTTGCTTCTTTCTTTATTTATTTATAGTGGAAAATATGGATCATAGTAAAGCGAGATCCGTTAATTATACAAATACTTCATGTAATTAGTTATTTTTAGTATTTTGATTCTTATATTTTTAAAAATTATATGAAGATTCTTATATTTATGAAAAATAAAATATTTAACTTTATTTCTCTTCATATTCTATTGACGAAAATACTACACGATTCTGTCTCATATCGGTTTATCATTGAGTTTATGCGATATTTTCATCAGTAAAATCGATGACGTGAGGAGAAACAAAGTTAAATATTTTACCTTTATAAGAATAATCGATGACGTGAGGAGAAACGAAGTTAAATATTTTACCTTTATAAGAATAAGGATCTCAATATAATTTTAAAAGTACAAAAATTGAGATACTAAAGGTAACTAATTACAAAAAATAATCTATGATTAGTCTCATGAGAAATAAAGTTTAATCATCTATTTTGTAATAATTATTAGATAATATAAAAAATCACTAGATTATACATGTTTTACATTATTAGAGGGTTTATTTTTTCTACTTACGAGTATAGATTGGGGGTAAATCTTATGTCATCATTTTTTATTTATGTTTAGTCTCTAGATTTTGCTTTTGGGATTAAGGTCTCTTCCAACAAGGTGGTACCAAAAAAATTATGAGGTAGTTAGAGTATCAATAAGGTATCTTATGTTGTTATTGTTTATTTCCTCAAATCTTTGTGGAAAAGGATGGATGCAAGATACAATTTTATTCTATGCAAAGGAAGATGCATGATTTTTTTATTTCTTAAAATTTAGAAAAAAATATTAAAAGGATGAGCAAACAAATCAAAAATGAAAAATGATGAAGATCAACATAAAGCACATAAAAAACTGACAATGAGATTATTAGAGTTGACAAGTATTTTATTTCTAGAAGATAAGGAATCAATTTCTTAATAAAGAAAAGAAATCTTATGCATTATGATTCTGTTATTCACACACATGAATCTTTATACATTGGTGGGAAATAACGCAAGACAAGACTTTTAGTATTTTTAAAAATTTTCTATAAAAGATCTAAATAGGGTCGAAAGAATACGTGAAATAAGATTTATGTAAGATGATATATAAGATAATTTATGATTGAGACGAGGCTAATTCAAAGGGATATAATTTGATTACATATGATGAAGAATTTGATTTTCTTTGTAATCATACGCAAAGAACATAAAATCACATAAATATTGAATCAACTTTTCTAGCTTAAATTTTATTGTTGATATTTAGATTTTTCTTTTCACATCAAGATATTCTCTCTCTACATTTTTTTATTTTAATTCAAATTAATATGAAAACTATAACTTTTATTTATTTTTACGAATGATAAATGACGAAGGTAGGATTAAATTAAGTTGAAAACCATGCCATAAAATAAAAAATCTTAAGCTCATTAAACTATAGTTCAATAACTATGTATATAGTCTGACTCTCTTTAATGTTTTTATAATATAAAATTAATCCCTAATTGATTTTTATCTCCCATTGATGAAACCTCTTTTTTTCCAAGACAACCTTTTTAAAATGCTTGCATCAATAGCATTGGTGCCATCATCTAATGTAATTTCGAATTGTTACAATTTACAGTAGGGCACAAAGTCCTAAAATGTTTAGGATTGGGCTAATACCCACATCTTAAGGAAGCCCAACCCAATGCTCGTTTTAGGTTTTCAACATGTCATGGATAGGTAGCAAATAGTGGGATACACATCATCACCAAATTATTTTGTCTAAGCTTGTTTTTGGTTTGCAATATCAACATTTATCATTGTTGATATTTTGCTTGGAGAATCTTTCATATTTGTTTCTTTAACGCTATCAGACATGATAAATGCGACTCTTCGATAAGCATGTTAATAATATTTTCGGGATTAGCGGTAGAAAACTCATCCCCAATTATTAGAAAAAATAATAATTTGATTTGATAAGTTTGATATTAAGAGAAAAAGAAGAATGAAGTTGAGGGTTAGGTTTTGAGCCATTAACAAATTCAAAGTTCCTTTTGTAAAATATTTAGATTAGTTAATGTGATATTACACAAGTAATAGATGCTATGTCTGTGTCACGTACGAGAGTCATATATATAATCTAATATGATAATTTTTTAGAAAAGCTCATTCATATGATTAAGTCTCCGAGGGATATATCACCATTGAATGAAAAAAAAGAAAAAAAAACCCGATCGAGATATTTGGTGTCATGGATAGTAGCATGATTGGACCGTCGAAACAATTCATGGTTAGTGATTAATAAGATGATATTAATTTTCATATTTGAGAAAATATCTTTAGCTACTTTGACAACTCTAATGATATTAATTTTCATAGGATAATAATTAAGGACCTTAACATTTTTTCTGTCGGTCGATGAAAACCAAGACAATTCAATTAACATGAAGTGGTAGTCGGACAATGCATACATTGTTAGCCTAAGTTGACTCTACACATGTAATGGTGGGGAATCCTCTCTCCCTCAGTGGGAGGAGTCCTTTATGGGTCACCACTCTCCCTCCCATGCAATGTACGGACATCATTATAATACTCCGCAATGTCTCTTATTCAAATCAATTTTTTGATTTGTAAATTAGTTGACTTGGAAGCACATTGTAATAATAGATGAGTAATATAATGGGTTTTAATCAAACCTTCTGATAGGGTGAATATTATCTTAGGATAATCATCACATCTACATCGGATCTCAATTTAATATATCTAATATTTCTATATTATATTATGGACTGCACACTACAAATTTTAGCCTCTCCCAATTGAATATTTATTACATATTACATTTGATCCGATTCAAACATTGAAGGAGGTATCATTGGGTATGCCTCTTATATAGGTTAAAAAATAAATAAATAAATATAAAAAAAAATCTCTTGATCAAGATGGAATATCTAAGACAAAAAAAAAAAAATCCAATTCAGGAGCAAGCCACCTCCGATAAGTCACATTTGATTAGGTCAAGTCAACTTTGATACATCGGGCTAATAAGAATTTGATGATAAACCTTATATACACACACATATAAATGACATTGTCAACATGCTGACTCTCTAAGGTCACGTTGACGATCGCACATAGTCAACATGTGTCAAATGATTTGAGTAGTACAATAACACTATGTGGCTATATGTGATTGACATTATGTGTTTCTATCATAAATTGAGCAAATCAAGAAGTATCTCGGATTTGACGCATATAATGGCATTATTTCGATCGACCCTAAAAAGATATATGATTATATCATGATTATTAATAATCTTGGAAGTAATGATTCTCAAAGTCACATATGAAAAGAGGTTTTTAAGTGTATTCCCCACATACACTTTTTCCAAAAGAATTGTTTGGCTAGTTCGAATCCCAAATCGACTTGACCATCATAGTGATATTTGACGAGAATATCCCTAACTTAGTTTTGTAATTTCATCGCTTCCATCAGGACTTTCCCTCTCTTCTTCCCCACATGGCCCATCGAGTTATAGCGTCGCTCACACCTCTTTCTTAATTTATTCTTATCTACTTATCAAGCTGTGACAAGGGACATAATCGATCGAGTAAAAGCAATGAAGAGCAAGGGACGAGAGGCGAAAACATCAAGGTTGATGGTTGCGATGTATGAGGAGGATTCGATGACTAATGTGGTTGAGGCAACCGGGAAAAACGATGAATGATGATGAGAGATATTTACGATGGTACAAAACTATGAGCAGGTAAAATGAAAATACGGACATATTCTGAAAAAATAAAAAATAATAATTTTTTAAGACAAATCATCCTTATTTTTGTTACTTTTCTAAGGTCATTAAAAAAGTACGATCAAGCTATTATGCCTTTGTACCGAAAGCTGAAACTTCCCCGTTGATGCACTCATAAAGCGAGCAGAAAGTACAGTCGGAGAAGACGATGCACAATGACTATTCTCTTTTTTCCTTTTACCGGAATCAGATCTACATTTCTCGTGTCCTCCTCTAACGCCGACAAGTAAAAGCACCCCATAAGGTGAGCTCCAAATCCATGGCACCAAACAACATGCAATAGTTCGCTACACTCCATACCATGGGGCCATTTGAGATGCCTTCACTTTTACCTCTCTCTCTCTCCCTCTCTCTCTCTCTCTCTCTCTCT